GTAGAAGCAAGGGCCTCATCAGTTGACCATCAAATTATGGTCAACTCATCCTAGCTAAACTAGGAAATTCACTAAGTGAAGTAAACCAAACCTAGCTGGAGAGAGTCTGAAACCAGCAGGAAGAATCGAGTCTAAACATGATTCTCTAACAGATACATATGAGTAGGTAATAACCCTGGCTCAGATGCAGCTAACCGGGAAAGGATTCATTTAAAGAAGGCCAAGAAACGTCAGGCCTGGAGAGCACAGGTTCTCTTTCATAAATTAGTGAGTCATGAGAATTTAGGCAATAAATGAATAATTGTGGGGTAAGATTAACTAAGTGTTTTAAGGTTATTGAAGATCTTAAATTACACCAATTTAGTAGAGAGTGGGTTCAATGTGTTTAATATAACAATTAGCTCTCAGTAAAAGAGGGGAAGCCAGGACTCTTGCCTATGTGCCGCGGGGCTTCTGCTGTGTGAAATCATGACCACATTCCTGAGTGGGGTTAGAATTCCAAACTAACCGGCTGACTGGATTTGGGTTGATTTTACATTTTCTTTAAAACTAAAGTTAATTTTCAAAGAGATCTCACAGAAATAAGAGTAACTGGCTGCTAGAGCTGGAAGGCTGTAAGGGCTGTGGTTGGTACTTTCCAGTGTACGGATGAAGAGGCAGTGTCTTCATCTGAAAGGTCAGGAGGTGAGAAGGTAAGAGATTGCATATCTTCCACCTGAGAGAATCTGTGAAGTCTAAGAGAGTGAGGCAGCTGCCCAAAGGTGCACAGCTGGCCCACGCTCGACACAGAAGGTGGGTTCAGTTTCCTGCATTCTCCTCCCGACTGCAAGCCGATGTGAGATTTTAAAGGACTCATCTGTCTATTCAGTTATTTGATACAAGGGAGGTAAATAACCGTTGACTAGGCTGGATCTCCCCCCTCCTACCATTTCAGTCCATTTTCTGTGTTGTTCAAACAGAACCTTGGGAGTATCACCAGTAACAGAAGGACCAAAGCTTGAATACAACTCGGATGTGCTTGGAGACAGCTCAGTCAGTCAGAATTCAACAAACTCAGGCTGTAGCAATAAACTCACTGTTGAGACCAGGAAACAAAAGATGCGGTGCTTTGCAACACACACATTTGCGTAAAGGTGACCTGAAATTTGACCCAACACTGAAAGGCAGAATGTTCAGATTTAGCTGAAGAGTAGAGCCCTAACTAGCTAGAAAATCACTAGGGATGAAATCCTTTGTCTTGAGCTTATGTTTTCAGCTGTTGCCAAGTCACCTCTGCATTTCCCTGGGGCATGTGATGTAGTGTGGAATCATTCTGGAAAATGCAATGTAAATCTCTCAGTAGTGATGGAATAGCCAAGTTGTGGTTCACCCTGGGGGTGGAGCAGTCTATCTCTTTACGCCACATGGATCTCTGATTCCCTCATCTACACTGTGGGCTCCAAACCGGAGTTTGAAAAAAATATCCTTATGTCCCCTTGACATGTAAATAAATGTTTAGTCTTACTCATAATAAGAGAAATGCTTGGGCAAACCACAGCAAGATGTAAATCCCTTAACCTATGGGGGATCCTAAATTTGCCTCAGCATGTCTGTGAAGAAAATGAACCTCTATAGATCACGAGCATGAATGCAAACTGGTACACAGTTTAAGGGAGAATTTCACTATCTAGGCATATCTATTCCTAGAAATCATTCCCAAAGACACACTGGAAACACATGAAAAGCTGTTAATTTAAGAGCTGTTAATTGCAGCACAATTGCTAATTTAAAAGCACAAGAAGACACCCTCGAATGCCCATTGATAGGAGATTGGCTAAATAGTGGCCTATTCTGTAGCTGTAAAAGGGAGCGAGAAAGATCTTTAGATGCTGCCAATGTCCAACATGCTGCTAATTAAATACAGCTAAGAAAAATAGCCAGTATAGCACAGTGTAGATTAGAGCGTTTTCATGTTTGTGTGTATGCCTGGAAGTGGAAATGTAATCCAACAACCACCAAAATGTCTCAGAAGTCAGGGCAGAGGGGATGGGACTAGCAGTTAGGCTTCCCACCCCATGGCTTTTCATTTCTGAATCGGGGGATATTTAATCTAATTTTTTAAACAAAACAAAACAAAAAAGCACAGTGAAACAAAAGAGCATTATTATGATTGACTTGGGGCTTAGCCACACATCGGAATCATTTCAAGTGATTTAAAAACGGAATAACTTTTAACTGCATCCCAAGTGGGGTATACTCAAAGGCTAAAAATAACCACATAAAATCTTAAGCCATTTTCAGTTGCTATATTTTTAGCAATAATGTATGTGAGATAATTTTGAGGGTATATATTTTAAGCAAGTAAAAATTATATTAATATAGTAGGAGGAAGAAAAAGAAGCAGAAGAAAAATGCAAATACAAATTAAAATTCATGACATCATAATAAAATGTCTATAATCCTAAAACCGAGCTGAAAATATTAAAAGGAATTTCTGGTATAACTTTGCCTAAACACAGAGGTCTAAAAATAATTACCCATCCAATAGTAACAAAAACAGTAGCAAAAGTGGTCCTTAAATGAATTTTCTTTTTAAAAGATCCAAGGCTCCTTGGAGAGATGAGTGATTTTAAATTGAGGGATGAAAGTCATAGATGATAAAGCTGGAACACTAGACCTATCTAAATGCAAGAAGTTTAATCAAAGACCATGAGAGTCATGTTAAAAAGATACAGTAGAAACCTGAAGACCCCCCCCCTTGTGAAAATGGAGTGTTTTAACCATAAAAAAAAGAGTTCCCAGCATAGACGAAAAGTAACAGCTGTGTTAAAAATCCACATGTTCAGAAAGATGTGTTTTAAAGACCTGTCTTGCTAGTAACATATGGAGGATGCCATGGAAATGACACATTGTTTTGGAAATTAGTAAGTTAGAGGAAAGAATCATTTGTCTTGCTTGGTTCTTGTTGTTTGTTTATATTACACCATAGGGTGCTCCAATAGCTGAACAGCGAAACTCTTTTGAGGAGACTATACTGGATTAAATAGTGACCTTCAGTGGGAACTGGGGCAGCCAATGGGTAGACAGGAAACTGCAATCTGTAGAGCTTGTCAGATGTCTGTGCCTAGGAAGTAGCTGGGTTCACTGTTAGATTCTGAGGTCTGAGGTTGAGCCTGAGAGTGTGCAGTATACCTCATCTGATGCCAGGACTGCTGGTCAGGGGGTGTTGGCTGTTATCATCTACTGGGTCTAGTGGTCCCCTTGTTGGACATAAACAGTTCCACAGAACAATCCCAGGCAAGGTCACTCTGAGCAGGATGGAGCAGCCAGAACTAAATAATCATCTTTAAACATAAATAATGAGCATTATCCAAATCCACACTGACAGAACATCACCTATTCTAACCATGAAGAGGGAAATGGCTTTTTTACCATTTATAGATGTAGGCTTAGTCTGGTCTCAACTCTTTTAAAAGAATACTTAACTAAATGGATAAGCATGGAATTACTTTTACTTCTTGACACATCTAGAGAAAAGCCTGACTCCCTAAATATCACAAATGGGAACCCAAGCCCCATGACAAGTCCTTCTCTTCTTACACCCCCTGAGATAACACACGGTTCCCTACTGTCTTAGTCAAGGGTACTATTGCTGTGGTGAAACACCGTGACCAAATCAACTGGGGAGGAAAGGGATTATTTGGCTTACACTTCCACATCACCGTTTATCATTGAAGGAAGTCAAGACAGGAACTCAAAGCAGGGCAGGAACCCGGAGGCAGGAGCTGATGCAATGAAGGAGTGCTGCTTCCTGGCTTGCTCCTCATGGCTTACCGAGCCTGTTTTGTTCTAGAACCCAGGACCACCAGCCAAGGGGCAGCCCCACCAACAATGGGCTGAGCCCTTCCCCATCAAACACTACTTGAGAAAATGTCCTGTAGGCTTGCCTGTCTATACCCCAATCTTATGGAAGCACTTTTTTTTTCAACTGAGGCTGCCTCCTCTCTGATGACTCCAGCTTGTGCCGGGTTGACAGAAAACTAGCCTGCACACCCACAGTGAGCATTCTCTTTCATTATATCCTATAAGGAACCCATTTCATTCCTCTGGTACATTCTGGTAGTCTTTGCTAGACTGGCAATTCACAAATGTGATAGATTACGCTAAAAGCTGAGTCAGCGGTCGCCATTTTCCTTCTTATGTGATGCTCCCAGCATCATTTTTAAAGTAATCCAGATAGGAAAAGGCTGAACCTGATCCTGATTAAGCCTCTAGCTTTAACCATTTAAGAAACATTGGGGACATGGGGACATGGCAACTAATTACGTGTCATCTTTGGAAATGTTTTGTACAAACTACTAACAAACCAATAATGACAATAACAAGAGAACTGAGAATATTTAAACAGTGACTGGAGGTTTCATGTTATTGAATCATGGTCATGAATAGTTGTAGGTTTTATAATGGCAACAATGGTCACTTTCAGGGTATCTGCATACCAAAATATGATACTTGAAATTCACTTTAATGTGATACCATCATAATAAACAGGAGTGGATGGAAAACATGTGCTCATATTTGGCTAGTAAGGGGGTAGATGCCAATTATCTTTACTCTGCTCCCTTTCCTTGACGTGTTTAAAAAGTCCCACAGCAAACAGTTTTAAAAGAATCTTTAAACTATTTAATTCAACTTTGAAAGAAGATATGTTGAATAGAGACGAACTTAAGTGCAACAGCTTAGAATGACTCTGTATTTGAGAGAAGCAATAATGGTTTTACCAAGTCCCTTCCACTATGGAGACTGCTTTCTGACCAATTTCTTGGGAGCTGTCTGATCTCACCTACTTCTTTTTCCTTTTCTTTCTTGATTTTTTATTTAATTCACTTACAGATGTGTCAACAGCCTGTGATGAGGAATGAAGAATTATTACCAGGGAGACGAGATGACTGCCCGTGGAGAAACTGCCAATTTAAATGTTTGATTCTACAAAGAAAGAAATGCATTATTTGAACAGTTACCTGGATCTGTAGCAGACATCAGTGAGCCAAAAAATAAACAGTCAGTGAAATGGAAGTCTCCACTCTTCAGCTGGCCAGCATACACCATGGCCTTCACAAAGCCATACATAATTAACCTGTAGAAGAGAAACAGAAGACCTTTAAACATCAAACTGGATCCTGGGTAAATCCATGCTACCTCAGAGAACATTCTAATGAGCTTTCTTGATAGGTACCATGTGGAAACCACCAATCCTATCAACTCATGGCCACTATGATCTCTCAGCTTTGAACAGCATGTTCACTAAATATCACAATCCATTCATCTAGCAAATGGTAATGGAGCATTTGATAGCATATGCCATGGAAAATAAGGTAAGCTTCAAAGACGTAAAAAATTGTCAAACGTGGCCCAGCAAATCGTGCCTACAGATCTAAGAGCTGTGTTGATGTCTGGAAAGGGATTTCTTTTCAGTTTTTCTTGTTTTATCGGCTAGGGGTGTCTGCTGTGGTGAGAAGACAGCTGGCTGCTGCAGCCACCCCACAGCCCAGCAGCCCCTTTCCCACAGATACGCCTGTCTTGCTCCTAGTGTCAGGACATTCTCACTTTGAGTGGAGAAGCAGCCGTCAGGTAAGGGCACATCGGCTTCAACAGCACTGAAGACAGCACTGAAATGACTATATATTTGGTTTTGCAAAGAAGGATGCTCTTTAACGAAGATTTAAAGGGTAACTTAGTATCTCTACAACACGAAATGCAGCATCTCTGGGTCATAATTTGCCATCCTATGGTTTTAAAAGTAAGCCAGTCCCAGAAGCCACGAGGTTAGGGAATGAAAATCCCAGTGCCAGGGGTAGACTACCTCCCTAGGAGCCCCAGAAGGGAACAGCAACACAGGCTCCTATCACTGCTGCCGGTTGCCCACCTGCACTAGATGCCATATCCTTTGGTTGCAGAACACGGAGAAGTCAAGCTGGAACTGAGAGGGAAGCTTGCCTTCTCCCAGCTAGCTTTCACAGTGCTGGGACCGTCTACCTGCTGCTGTCATCAACAGTCTTAGTCATGTACCCCACAAGCTATAGTCGTGACCTCCCAAGCAAGACGTGCCCACTGCTGAGATAGTTGTGTGACTCCTGAGGGGGTAACCCATTATTTTCTGATTGAATTTGGGGCGTACTTCCCTGGAGGGAATTCACATCTGGTACTCTAAACCTGGTCAAAAGCCTGTACTGAGTCATGACGTGCCTGAGAGTACACTGCACGAGACAGCATTATGATCATGGAAAACCTAAAGCAATTCTCTAGGTAAAACCAGAAAAAACATGGGCTAAGTTGCCCAAGCTCCTGTAAATAGCACATCACTCATGCTCCTTCTATAAGTAACCTTAATTAAGCTTATTTACCAAAACAAAAAAAAAATCTAAAATAAAATTAAGAAGTGAAAGTACAAGGGTACTAGCTGAGAAGGGGAGGGGGTCTGCTGAAGAAGGAGGAGAACAAGAGAGGGCAATGGGGAGGTTAATAAGACCAAAATATGTCATACACATAATGTATGAAAATATCATTACAAATCCACTATCATATTTAATTAGCATATGCTAATGAAAACTTTAAAGCTTTTATTTATTTATTTAAAGGATTGATTTTTGCTTAACCCCTAAGAGAGAAAATATAGAGATTGGTGAATTGACCCTCAGTACCAATATAATTTAAAATCAGTAATAGTCCTTAGAAACTGCAGCCCATCCAATCTCTAGACAGATGTTGAAATCCTTATATGTACCTGCAGTTTACTTTTTTTTTTAAATGTGCTGAGGTTTTGAGCATGGTTAAGAAACGGCTAAATATCAATTATTAGAACTTAACGATTTCCACAGTGATACAAACACTTTCAATTCTGTTAAGAGAACTACCTCCTTAAGGGGCTATTTCAGAAAGAGCTGCATTTGAACAGTCACTATCACATTCAAGCTATATGATGCAGGGTATTATTAGAACTGTCTAGCCTTCGGTACCTTGATTCATCAGATAGGGTAACAATAATAGAGGATGAATCACACAAGCAACATCTGGTGTCCAGTGCCCTTAGCCCTCTCAGGGAGCTGCTTCCTACTGCTCTGAGAAGATGGAGATGGGAAATATTTGTTTACACTTTCTGTCTCTTCACGTGCTTTAATTAACTTAATCTGCAGTCGATCCTGTAAGGTCAACAGTATTTACACAGTGTGATGCAGTAACCTATTTAACATGGCAAATTAAGCAGGATGCTAGGGCTTGAATTGAGACAGCCTGGTTCCAATGCCGGAGATTTTTGCCACCACAACGTGTTACCTGAAGAATGGCTTTTTGCTTTCCACTATACCAATAAGCTGTCTCATGCAATGGACTCTTAGCCATGCCATGAAGTAATCACTCTAGACAGTCCAAGGGGCAGGACTGGAATATCCTTAAAAACTTGAGGCTGACACCATCCTCTGCATTGAACTTATTGAGTGGATCCACAGTAAACTAGAGATAAGACACCCAACATGGCTCTGCAGAGCATGGATTCCAGGAGAGGAACTGAATCTTAACCAGACTGAATGTACTCAATATTAGCAAACACTGTTCCAGTAAGGTATGACCACAGGGGCTGTAAAGAGGCAAGTCCCAGGGCCTCAGTCAAGGGTAACCCCAGGGGCCACAAACTGGCCACCAAATACAAAATCTCCCACCAGATCCCAGGAAGCTTCATTGAGCTTATTTTGTTGTTGTTCAATATATATTTTTATTGAACACCTACTATATCAGGTCCTCTACTAAGAATTAATGAACCAAGATCTGTGCCTTCATTGACCATATGATTTAGTAGGACAGACAAAAATGAAATGTAAATAGTATCTGTTACCAACATCATTCCCTTGGTGGGAATCTGCAAGTACGGACGGCCCTGTGACATTTTGGACAATGACAACCTGGATAGAGGAATGATCTTCATTATTGCTCCTTTCAGCCCTTTTCACATCCCAGCTTCATGAAGATCCTTTCCCACCGGAACTGTACTTCAGACACCGAGCACCACCAGGCTACAGAACCACGGTAAACATTACGAACTATGATCCTATCCCCGAGTTCTGGATCTACTAGTTAATTTGGTGGAAGAAGAAACTCTGAGTTGAAATAGACTTATGGTATATTGCTCAGAAGCCATTAATTTGGAAAAGAGAAAACAACGCACATACCTGCTGCCTGTGCTTAGTGAAGCTAAGAGGAAGCTAGAAGCCATGTTTGTACAATTGCTGTAGACAAAACTGATGCCCTTATATAGGCCAATACGGCAATTCACCTGAAAAGCACTGTCAAGGTAGTCTGTATTTCATCATTTTTTCCTTGGATTAATACCAATAAATTAATCAAATCTGTCCTGAAACATATATATTCAGGTTTTTTTTTTCAGATCACAAGTATTTTTTAGAGCAATAGTTCAAAAAACAGTTACAGCATATAAGACTGGCCAATATTCAACCATTAAAATTATATACAAGAATATGTTGGATACAGAAAATTTATTAACAAAATTTAATAAATAATAAATTTAAAAATTTTGAAGTTGAGTAAATTTAGACATCAGTTCAAGCAAAAAACAAAACAAAAAAAAAACCTGTAAGCATGTATCCTGGCTAGACTTTGTTAACTTCACGCAGGCCAGGGTCATCTGAGAAAAGGATACATGTTTCCATCAGATTGGCTTGTAAGCAAGCAAGTCCATGGGGAATTTTCTTGATTAGTAATTGGTGTAGGGATCCCAGCTACTACCCTGGTCAGACCGTCCCGGGTAGTATAAGGAAGCAAAATGAGCAGGCCATGGGGAATGAGTCAGTAAACAGCACTCCTCCATTGTCTCTGCTTCAGTTCCTGCCTCCAGGTCTCTGCTCTGACTTCCCTCAACAAAGGACTATGACATGGAAGTAGAAGCCAGATAAACCCTTTTTCTTCTATCATGATTGGTTCTTAGGTCAACTTGTCACAAATTAAAATCTCCTGAGTAGGGATACACTCCTGAGGAATCGCCTTGACTGATGTGCAATGGCCCACCTTGACTGTGGGCAGCACATTTAACTCCTTATCTGGGTAGCTAAAAGGAAGGTCATCTTTGGCTGGCATGGCCTTCCATCACACCGGTGAGTTGATTTGTCCCACTGTTGCTACCACTGCTAAAACCCGAGTTTCCAAGCTTTCATTTTGGTTTAGGGACCAGCGGTTGTCCATGTACTTTCCAGGCCTCTAGTGCTGTGTTGGGACTACTAAGGCCCCAGCCTTGAGGACTGAGTAACTGCTGGTCATCTCTCCAGTGAGAGACAGCTATTCTGGGACTACTTTGGATGTTGAGGTGACTGTCCTCAACACAGAGCACCAAGTTCTCATAGTCTCAGGTGTGATCTGGCTATCGTTATTGGTGAGGAGCCGAGGACACCCTGAGTGTATGAGGTCCTGTGTGGATGTACATTGTTGACACAGGCACAGCCATGCCAGGGACCCCAAGCCCATGTGAATGGCAAAGCCTTCCCCAAGTAAGACCCAGAGAGAACTGGCAAAGCCTTCCTTGGGGTTCTGAGTGTGGGTATTGATAGTGTGTGTAGAAAATATCCACTACAGTTTTCTCCCCCAGGGGATTTTCAGCCTGAAGCCGCTCCATGCTATTCTTCTGGGGTGCCCAGACCACCTGATCCCAGCTTTCTGTCCCTGTGTCCATCTGCTTGTCTTCTCTTCACTCCCTCCCTGGCCCAGTAAGGCCTAAGTCACCACATCCCACTCCCTGACTACCCCACACCCAAATACCCCTGCATCTTACCCCTATATCTCCCAAAGTTGCTTTTGGTCATGGTCTTTAACACAGCAATAGAAAGCTAACTAGAACAGCATAGGATCCATTATTACTGTTAATAGCAGTTACATAAAAGGAATTAAATGTGAACTTTTCTTCTGCTTTACTGCATTTTTCTAATTCTTTTAAAATAATAGCCATGGTAGAAACAAACAATAATGCACATTAGTGAGCTCTGTTACAGACAATAGATAGTCATTGTGCTATTTAATCCTCATAGTCCTCTGAGGAAGGCGTTGTAATTATCCCCTTCACAAATGAGACAATCAAGA